TTTTGTTTTTCCTTTCTCTTCTCTTTTACTTTCTTATATTCTTTTCTTCACTTCTTTCCTATATTCTTGGGACATTTTATATGAATGATTTTCATGAGATACGAAAATAAAGTATTTCTCGTAAGATAGTGGCGTACGGTGATATGGTTAAAATGCAGTATAGGTGACACCCATTGTCAACTCCATTGTTAATCAATCATTACAGTAATAGTGTCACCTATACCGATTAACAAAAGAGAAGGTAGTAAAATATCAAAGAGGGTTGTGGATACTTTTTATTGTACAAAAAAAATTTTTTTTAATTTTATTATTAGTATTTAAACGTATTTTTATTACATCGTAAAATACTTCATGTAATAATTCACAATTATCAAACGAATTTATTAAATATATCAAAATTTTTTTAAAAAAAGTAAAACATAAAATAAATAAATATAATATTCTTTTAACATCTTGTTCTATTATTAGCTTACTCATCAAAAATATTGATTTTTTTTATAACAATTTCAGAAATATCGTCCTATTCTTTCTGTTGCACCTTTTAAACATCTTTTCTTTATACTTTCTTAATAATATTTTATAAGTTTTTAATCAAATTTAAATATAAAACTATAGGATGGCTATATTAGAAGATAGAAAAATTTTTTTGCAAAAAAATTCTTAATTAGTCAGTTATTATGCTTAAAATAATTGTTTACTATATTTTCTAATAGTGTTATAATAATAAAATTTTTGAATCTATGATTTGTATAAGAAAAAACAAATCTATTTTACTTTTTATAAAAAACGTTTGTTTATTTTTAAATACATTTTTTATAATTATATATATTTGTATTATTTTTAAATAGTTTTGAATTTACTTAATTTATTTAAAAAGATTGTTTCAATATTTAATATTGATTAAATATATATATATATATTTATTTATTTAAGGAGCAAACAGTTATTATGCTTTATTTTATTAATTATAAATTTAGACTTGTAAAGCAAGATTATAATCATCAATAGTATGACATATTTCTCTTTACTAGGAAGAGTTAAATGCAAACTCATAAAACAGCCATACCTCTGTGTTCCTTGGCACAATTCAAGAAATACAATAAAAAGAAATTCAAAACCTATATTATAATCTTGAATGATATATAGTTAATAAAAGATATTTAAATGCCTAATCATATGAAAGTACTATAATTACTTTATACAGATTTATCTTCAAGTTATAAATAGGATTGGTATATTTGCTTCTCAAATATAATTTAATGTTTAACAGGTGAAATAATGTTTGAAATAATTAAGTTGTAATTACCTTTTTATATAAAAGTGCTACAGTCACTTTATATAGGATTGCTTTCAAGTTATAAAAAGGATTTGGCATATATATTTTCTAAGTATGATGGAAATATCTCATGAGTAAAGTTTTGTTTTGGAATTTCTTAAAGATACTAATATCTAATTTTATATAATGAGATTTATATTGTCAGAGGATAAGCAAGGTAGTAATCTTAGTTGACAAAAATTTTTCTAATCAACTAGTTGTTTTCAATATAATTAATTAGTTACAACTAAAAATTCTAAATTTTGATTGGTTAATTTTAAACTTTTCAATTAACAATTTGTAATACTAAAGCAAGGAACTTTTGTTGTTATTACTAACTCATATTGCAGAGGTAACTAGAATATTTGGTCTTTACATATTATTCATCTAGATTTTTTTAATCATTAGCATGACACTTATAACTAATTTAGCTTTATTGTTAGTTACATTGGTATTGGCTATCATATTATTTTGGATATTGTAAAATGCAACTTCTTGGATACTTTCAGATAATAATAATTGTATACCAGTTTTTTAGATATATCTAGTCTAACTATTAACAAGTAAATAACATTGGATTAGGTAATAATAGTCATGTCAATCTTTTGAAGAGGTAAACTATCTATTCTTTTTCTGAGAAACCATGAAAAAGGAAAATTTCCAAAGCCTACATTTTATAAAAACCTTGCTGCTTCTTAGATAGTTTTTGAAAAAAAAGAATCTACTGGCTAGAAGAGTAATGAAATAAAAGATAGTATATTGAAAAGAAAGAGAGATCTAGAGAAAAAAAATTTTTAAAAGAAAAGAAAATTTCACTTTGGCAAGGAAAGAAAAAATGAGAAGAAAAAGAGAAGTATGTAAAAGAAAGTTTGTAAAAAGAAAAAAAAGAATAGGAAAGAAGTGAAGAAAAGAATATAAGAAAGTAAAAGAGAAGAGAAAGGAAAAACAAAAAAAAGTAAACAACCCAAAATTTTTCTAAAAAGGAAATTTTTAAGCATAGAAAGGAAAATAGGAAAGAGTTTTTTTAAAAAAATTGATTAAATATATATAATTATAATATAAAAAATTGATTAAATATATATAATTATAATATAAAAAATTGTCAAACGACAGTTACATTATGAAAATATTGATAAGTCAATGACCACTAAAGCCATAAGTCTCTTCACTTTTGCTAAAGTTATCGGGTTAATGCCAGTATAGTTCCATAGAAGTGGATAATCGATAATCAAAGCCGCAGTCGATACCTTTTCTGGCTTTTCTTCTAGACCTTCGGAAGTTTTACTTGTTTTTTTATCAGTCTTGGAGTTACTAGAAACATTAGTCTTGCTCTTGGAAGTATTGGATTTGTTAATATTGTGGTCGATTTTTTTTCCTTCCCTATATAAAAAACAGTAAATGTGAATACGTTTTATATTATTAATTAAATAGTGATACATTGAAATAAGGTACATTATTGGGATTAGTGGTAAAAAACGTTATTGGAACCTATCTTACGGGAGGCTATTTTGGGATTTGTATCGGAGCAGAGCTAGTGTCTCTGACACATAAAAAGAAATTAATTAGGTTAGTTAAAAGATCGCTTTGTTGTTTGAATTCATCATACATTTGTGATAACTGTCGAAGTTGGTGCTATGTCCGATTGCTGATGTCAACATGACGAACAAACAATTATTGATCTAATTAACACATAAGGTGTAAAAAGTTCTGGCAATTTCTGGTCCTTTACCGTCCAAGTCTATAAATAAATTCTGATCTTCGATTTTTTTATATAAAAGATGGAGAAAAAATATCTGTGACCCTTTACTCCTTCGTTATAATTAACGATTTGGGGAAATAGAACATTTAACAAATCTCTTAGTTACACTAAAGGCTCCGCTAATAAATTTTATCCACGATAAATAAAAAGATTAATATACTAATTTCAAACGATTAAGGTTCATACATTCAAATAATATCTAATTTCTAACGATTAAGGTCCATAAACTCAAATAATATCTAATTTCAAACGATTAAGGTTTGTTTATTCGTTTATATGCTATGACAACTCCCCACATTCGTGTATATATGCTAATAGACCAATTTCCACTTATAGATGACATCGCTTGCTGTTTCGGGAATCGCTCCATTTTTGGACTTCGCCAGCCTTTTGATGTTAATCTCTATGTACTTACTTGTCGGTGTCACATTTTATTTTTCACGCACCATCAAGCATAATTCCGACCCTTCTGCACGTGATAAGACATTTAATGAAATTCTTGCCAATCGTGACGCCAGACTTGATGAAATTGAACGCAACCTTCAAACCTATCATAAGAGAGTCACAACAGAATTCGAATCAATTAATGGATCAATCTTAACGATCCAAAACAAAATTAATCAATATTATGCCGTTGTTCAGGCGCAAAGTGCCTTTTCTCCCGAAATAAGAATCGAACCTATCGAAGACACATCCGTCCAAAAAAGTGATGAAAATCAATCCGAAGTTCTGGTTCGAGCCAACGGTCATTTTCCGATATAACTTCAAAAATATGGAACCAATTTAAAAATATTTTTGATAGAATTATGACAGAAAGAGGATGTTCTTTAGATGAAATGTGTACTATCGTGGCGGTTGATATCCTTAATCTTGGGATGGGAAAACTTAGTAAAGATATAATCAAAAATTATTATCGTAGAATTAATGACTTAAAAGGAAGTAACTTGGATAAAATAGGTGCTTGGATCGATAGCAAACAAAATAATAATGAGTAGCGGGAAAGGAACTGCCGTTTTTCGCTTTGCGAGGGTCTAGGGGCCGGCAGGCATGGTCTTTCATGCTTTATTCCTCCCTTTTAAATCCCACTTCTCAATTCATTTTTAATAGCCGGCTCCGGTCCATCTTCATATATCGTCATAGTGACATCATAGAGACCTATTGTTACCAGGATTTTCATTTTTATTGGTTATTGGAAAAAAATCAGTTATTTCTAATTTTTGGTAAGAAATAATGTCCAAGAGCGCCAGATTTCCGTCAGTGAGTAGAACTGTAAGTGTTGACAGGAGTAAGGAAATTGCAAGGGAGACGGATTATTTGGACTTGGATCAATTGGACCTAAATCGCACTTACACTCTCGAAGAGTTTGAAATTATAAGCGATCAGCTCAAAAATCGTTCTTTGGAAATCAAAGTTGATAGCGAGCTTGTTCCCATCAGTCACTTCGAACTTGATAAATCTGGAAAGTTAGTTCCCATGTCACCAACACCAATTTTTAAGGAAGTTGCTGTTGTGGAGATTTATGCCCAAATTCGTAATTGGAATGTTCAAACTGGTCAAAACGGTGCTGTGACTTGTTCGCAGGGAGGCTTTCTAATCGAAATGGGAGAGGTTCAAATACCAGATGTCGCCTTTACGCCAAAAGAAATTTATCGCAATCTAACTGATGAGCAAGGTACCTCCTTTCGAGGCCCACCATTTAGCCCTACGTTTGTCGTGGAGGTTGATAATATAGAAAATACAAATAGTACGAAATTCAAAAATCTGGATTCCAAATTTAAAGACTCTTATTTTGCATCAAATACATCTGTTGAGCTAGGTTGGCTAATTGATCCTATTAACGATGAGATCTGGGTCTACAAGCGAAGCCCCGCAAACGGCAATGTCTTTCGTTGTCACCGTGATTGGGGAGACTTGGATGGAGGCGATACTTTGCCAGGTTTTAAGCTGGACATACGGAATGTAAAAGAGGCAATTTCGCAAGTGAGTAGTTGTTCATTTTTATTGTTTTTATGCCATAGATTCATTCATACAACTTGTGATTTAATCACAGGAACCGTCAGAGTCAGATCCTTCGGAATCAGAAGACGAAAATACACAACATTCCTGTCCGTATTGTTCACAGACTTTCAGCAATGGTTACCACTTGATGAAGCATATGGAAAATGATCATTTACGTAAGAAACGGATTAGTAGAGGTTAGGAGAACGGTGGAAAGGTATTCATCGGCGAAATATTAGCAATGTAAAAAAGATCAGTCGTATAAATGAGAATATAGGCAATTTTTTAATAATAAATTCACGAAATTGCACGTTACTTGAGTAATTTTGTTCTAGTATAACAAAAATAATATTACGAAAAATTACGCACGTGACTGATAAAAAAAGTCCGTTTCGAAAAATACAAAAATACTGCAGATAATGGAACATTTAAAGTTTTGAGTTTATTCAATGAGACCCAATTCTCGAAGATGTTCTGGAATAACTATGTATGGATCCCCGTAATACCAAACATATCTTAAAACAATCCAATTATCTTCGCAGAGTTCTCTTTTGATCTGATCACGTATTAATTGCCTCTCAAAGTCTTCTTCATTTTTGTGAAAATATTTTATATGTTGCTCGTGCTGTTTACCTTGTACTTCTATGGCGAATCCATACTGTGGATAGTAGACATCAAGCTCTAGTCCTCGAGGATGTTCAGGTGTTTTCAGGAAATCTGGTCTGCGGATGCTGAAAGGTGGACCAAGAATATTAGTTATGACTTTGCGACACAGATTTTC